TTCTATTTTGGGCTGATTTTTCTTGATTACTGAGGGTCGAGAGACTAGAGGGGTCGATGACTGAGAGAGGCTAAGGGTCTGTTTGTTAGGTATTGATACCATAGCACATGAGTTGTCTGTGCGGATCATGATATTTATACTATAGCACGTGAGTTGTCCGTGCGGATTCTGATATGATACTGTAGCACGTGAGTTGTCCGTGCAGATCTTGATATGATACTATAGCACGTGAGTTGTCCGTGCGGATTATAGCGCTTGGGCTGTAGGAGATCCTCCAGAGTCTGTACACCCCCAGTGAGCGCAGGTACCTATTGAGTGTGAGTATTGAGGGCTGAGAGCCGGGTGTTGAGCTATTGAGAGAGCTTGAGGGACTGTTGCGCTGAGAGGTTGCACTTGTTTCATTTGTTGTTGCACGTAGATGATTTATATCATTGTTCTAAAACTTCTGGAAAATATTGTATCCAGTTTTACCTGAACTTGGTAATGTGTAACTGACTTGACTTAAATTACCGGAATTGAAACATGTCTACTTTTATTGCTGAAATTACTGAAATGAACTGTATTTGTATAGCTTGTCACTATCTTTCATTTCCTAATTTATTATTGTTACTTACTGAGTTGGTTGTACTCACGCTACACCTTGCACTTCGTGTGCAAGGTGTTTCCGAACTCATGAGCGGCTAATTATCGAATATTTACGAGGTAGCTGACGGCATTCGCAGTCCTTGTTTCTCCTTCCATGTCTGCTTTTCTTTCTTTTTATTGTATTTGGATACACACCCTTGTAGACGCTATTTCCTAGACTGGTTGTTTAGATACTCATGACTTGGTGACACCCGATGTTTGGGGCTATTTTTCTGCACTGTATGTTTAGTTTAACTCCTGGTTTTACGAAAACTCTATCATGGAAAAGCTTTTGATTTATCTTTTGTGAAACATTGGAAGATTTTTGAGAATCGGCTTGCCTAGTACCATCGATAGGAGCCATCACGACAGGTTAGGATTTTTGGTCGTGACACCTAACCATACCATCTCACGTTCACCCATTATAACCACCAACATATCTCTAATTCAACGCCTTGACTCTTCTGTTTCTCAATCTCAAATTCCACACATATCTTCCTCTAATACAAAAACACATCACATGATCACTCGCAAGAAAACATGCTCTCTTAAGCCTCACATTCTCCCATCCTTAATCTCTCACATTTCATCACTTTTACCAGAACCAACTTCTTTTACGGAAGCTAACAAATCATCTTATTGGAGACGTGCAATGGCCGAAGAATACAATGCTCTTATAGCCAACCGCACTTGGGATCTTGTGCCTGCACCACCTACTACCAATGTTATTGGTTGTCGTTAGGTTTATCGTATTAAACAAAAATTTGATGGTTCTCTAGAGCGTTTGTCTTATGGCCTAAGACTACAAACAACAACAAGGACTATATTATGATCAAAAATTTAGTCCTGTGGTGAAACCAGTAACCATTCGTACTATGCTTGCGCTTGCTGCATCTAAGCAATGGCATGTTCATCAATTAGACGTTAAGAACCCCTTCTTGCATGGAAATCTTAACGAACTGGTATACATGAAACAACATGTTGGCTTTGTTCATCCACAATTTTCTCATCATGTTTGTCGGTTGAACAAAGCTCTTTATGGCTTAAAGCAAGCCCTTAGGGCATGGTTCCATCGGTTCACTTCTTTTAATCTAAGTACTGAATTTCAAAATAGCTTGTCTGATCCCTCTCTTTTTATTTATAAACATAACTCAGACATTGCTATTCTTCTACTATATGTTGATGATATTCTCGTCACTGCCTCTTTTACTACTTTACTTCAATCTTTAATTCAGATTCTTAAGTCCGAATTTTCAATGAATGACTTAGGATTGGGTAATTAATTTCTTGGTGTTTTTATAACTACTCGTGATGGAGGTTATTTTTTATCTCAGTCCAAATACGTGAAACAACTCCTTGGTCATGCAAATTTGCTTTCTTCCAAACCAGCTTCAGCTCCTCTTTCTCCTAAGTCTTTACTGCATTCGGATGATTCTTCCCCTTTTTCTGATCGCACACTTTATAGAAGTCTTGTTGGTGGTCTTCAATACTTGATATTTACCCGTCCAGACATTGCAGTTGCAATTAATCAAGTATCTCAATTTATGCATTCTCCCTTAGACATCCACTATACTGCTGTCAAAAGAATTTTGCGATATTTGCATGGTTCATTGAGTCACGGTTTATTTATTTCCGGTGGTTCTATTGACAGTTTACACTGTTATAGTAATGCCCATTAGGCTAGTTGCTCTATAACTCGTCAATCCACTTCGGCCTACTGTATCTTCCTTGGTCCGAATCTTATTTCATGGTCCTCCAAGAAGCAGATTGTTGTTTCCCGATCAAGTGCTGAAGTTGAATATCGTGCAGTTGCTGCCGAAATCACATGGTTGCATTCTCTTTTAAAGGAACTTCGTGTTTCTTCTTCTTCACCTTCCACAATTTTCTGTGACAATATTAGCAGCATATATTTAGAATCCTGTTCAACACGCTCGTGCCAAGCATGTCGAGATTGATATTCATTTTGTTCGTGAAAAAGTTGCCGCTGGTATTTTTTGAGTTCATTATGTCCTTAGTCAAGATCAACTTGCAGATTTATAAACCAAGGTACTTCCTTCACCGCGATTATTGTTTTTGCGCAATAAGCTCTGCATTCTTCCAGACCATGCATCGCTTGAGGGGGTGTGATAAATATGTAATGTAAATTTTGAATTTTAAAATATTATTGTACTTAGATATAATGTTTATCTTCTAGATCAACATGTAACTATAAAAGCTCATTGTATCTGTAACAATGTTCATCAAGAAATATTACTTGTTTCATAAATTTCAACCTAATTTACGAGGATGATTAACTACGATCATGATGATAGTTACTACTAATATCTTACGAGAATGTGGTAATTACAAACCAGCTAAAGACATAAAACGAGATTGGTCCTCGCTAGCTATATGCTACTAACTCATAAGAATGGACATAAACGTTGTTAGTAAATAAGGTTTAGAAGGCGCACAAGAAGCAAGCATACATGGAAGTGGACATGTATAAGTTGGCCTGATAGCTAGTATGTTAAACCTTTAATGCGGTCCTCTTTGTTTTACATAGCTAATAGGCCGGAAGGGAGCGTTGAGCAACTATAAGGTTATCTCTGCATGACATATAAGTCACGGATTCGAATCGTGAAATTTGCTAATATTGCTTGCATCAGGATAAGCTGCATACATTATACTCCCTTGGGGTGCGGGCTTCCCAGAATCTTACATGAACGCAGAATACTTCGTGTATCGGATTGCCTTTTAAATCAAACCTCTTTATATATTCAAAGTTCAAATTATGGTCTATGATATTCGAGCTTGTGACATTACAGTTCAAATTGTAACCTCTTGTTCGCTGAAATGTCATTGTGAGAGAAAATACTCTAATCACCGACACAAAAATATAACTTTCTTTGAGAATAAAAAACTTAAATTACAACATGAAGTTTTCATATCAAACTTATATTTTATGAGAATTTGGCGAGAAACCAGCTAATTAAAGAGATGACTGAGATTGGTCCAGTCCACGTGCCCCTAAGAATTGACACAAGCACTGTAGTAAATAAGGAGGTGAAGAAGCAGAAAAAAGCATAGTACAGTATAGTAGTACTAATGAATGCATTCTTACTTGTAAGGCCAAGTTTGTGTTGGGGCAAGTCCTATGACTAGCTTTGAGTGGTAGATTTCATCAATCAATACAAAGGATTGTGAAGACGAGATATTGACATTTTTTGTAGATAAGTATTCTCTTGGGACCACTCCACTATTGTCCTTTAGCCCTATTTACGGGCATATTTTGGAAAAAAATGACATGTTTGTTTGGTGTGAGAAAGAGTGAATGCAATGCTAATTTATGAGGAAGCTGCTGGATGTAGACAATATAGTTGGTATTGATAAATGACAGCACACACCTCGTGGTCTTTATGCATTATCTACATCAATGAGTCACAAAAAGATTTGTAGTATTTGGCTCTATCTTTCCACACTAATATTTAGGAGTATTTGTTTTTTTTTTTTGTATATTCCTCATCTAAGATAGGGGTAAAATTTACGGATACTTTACCGTCCTCGACGTTACATGTGAAATCACATTAGATATGTTGTTGTTATTGTTATTATTGTTGTTGTTTTTGATGTTGTTATTTCTTATTTACTGTTTACTTTCTTTCTCTCACTGACACGAGCGAAGCTACGCTTTGGTAATTGACCATCCTTTGTCGGAAAATTATACTATGTATATAGATAGAATACCAAGTTTTTGAGGTATATTACATATATTGAATACCCTTTGTCGGAATTTTTTTTTACTACTTTTAGTTTGAACACCCTTGAAAAAATTTCTGATTTCGTCACTGCTCACTGATGAAAGATGATTGAGTTAAATGCGAATTCAGAATTTAAATTTAATAGTTTCAATCTCTAATGTTGTGAGTTCTGAAGTCATTGTGCTTATAAAATGTGAATTCAGATATAATGTTTATTACAGTAGAATGTCATAAAGATAAATTTAGAAGTTCTTAAAATAGATTTCTAATCTTAAGATTCAATTATTCAAAGAAAGTAACAGTTGAACTGTCCTAAAAGTAAAAGACAAAATTCTTGACTTACTCCTTGTCCAGCTTTCAAAAATGAAAAATCTAATGTTTAAGGTACACTGGACTAATTTGTAGCCAAGAGACAAGTCACTGACATCATACAACAACCCAAGGCATAGACCCAGAATTTATAAAGTACAACCATATTACGGACGTCCACTTAAAAGGTGTCACATGCTAGATTTAGCTGTTATCTTCTCAAATAAAATGTTCCCTTGTCACATTAGCAGAAAAATAGAGAAAATGACAAACAATTTTGTGTTTGGGATTGGCCTTAAATTATCCTTTAAAAATTAAAACATACACTTAAACAATTTTAGTCATTACGTTTATCCACAATGAACACTTTGGTTTCTATTTTGTTTAAACACATAACCGTTATATTTTACATAATTTGCATAGGAAGCACATAAGTGGCGCAAATTAGCACGTGAAAAGCATGTAAGCTGTCTAAATTGAAAAAAATCAATAGGACTTTTCATTATTGGCGCTTCTTTCTCTTTTTCAGGTGTGAAACAAGGCAGCTCAATTCCGACGAGATCTGGATTAGTTGCCGGCATGTGGGAACCATCAGACATGTCTTCAAGCCTCTTAAGTCGTCACCCAGCAACTCCGGGCAGATCTTTAACCAGGTTCTACATTCTTGTTTGGTTAAACTCTGTTTCGTTAGATTTTGTTTAAATTTGTTCTTTGCTCTTAGGGTATTCTCTATCAATTATTGTGCTTTATCCGTGGTTTATTTGTTTAGATCATTTGTTTGTTCATTCATTCGTATTGCTTAGACCACTTGTATTTGCTTTTGGGCCTATTAGCATCGTTTAGGGTTCTTATTTTTACTTATCTTGCAGCTATTATCGTTCTTAGTACCTGTGATTTTCCCTATTTTTGTGCTTTATAGTTTCGTACTGTATTCTCGAAGTCTTAGTGTGTCTTGATTATAATGGCTATATTGAACAATGGTAGGGTAAGGTCATGTTTTCGGGAGGGTCCTCATGGGGGTAGGGGTGGTAAGGGTGCATTCAGGCTGAGAGTTGGGTCCTGAAACATAGTGACCTTGATGAGGAAGTCAATATAGAGTTAACAAAGATTCTCCATAAGAGAAAGATCAATATAGCTTGTCTCTAGGAGACTGGATGGAAAGGAGATAATGCAAGGGATGTAGACGGGTTTAAACTATGGTACTCTGAACACGTGAGGGGCAAGAACGGAGTAGGCATTTTGGTTGATAGGGACTTTCAAGAGCTAGTGGTGGAGGTTAGGAGGGTGAGTGACAGGCTGATGAGCATTAAGCTAGTCGTTGGATTTTTTACTTTAAACATGATTAGTGGGTACGCACCCCAATTGGGCTTGGACGAGGAGGTTAAAAGACGCTTCTGGGATGACTTGGATGAGGTTGTGGATGGCATACCGCATACTGAGAAGCTTTTCATAGGAGGAAATTTCGAGTGTTGTAAGGAATTTCGGATGTTGGGAACTTGGTTCCAAGGTTTATGGGCTAAAGTCAAAATAATGATCATCAGTTATATCGTGTGGTCAGGCTTACATGAGTTAGGGTTACGTGAGATCACCCCTGGGTATGTGCATGGTAAGGTTACACAGTGATTCGACGGCATTGGAACGACACGTGGCACGTTCGAGGACGAACGTATGTTTAAGTGGGGGAGAATGTAACGACCGAACCGGTAGTTTTAGAAATTTGCATTTCGTTCGGTGGCTTAAGACCTCAAGCAGCTTTGTATAATGTATTATGACTTGCGTGTGTGGTCGAGTTTGATTTTCGGATGATTTGAGATCAATTTTGATGAACAATTCTTGTTTTAAAAGTTTAAGTGAAAAGAGTTGAACAGAGTTTGACTTTTGTGTAAATGACTCCGAAATGGAGTTTTAGTGGTTCCAATAACTTCGTATGGTGATTATGAACTTAGACGTGTGTCCCGATTTGAATTTGGATGTCTGTAGAATAATTTGAAGTATTTTGTCAAAAAATATCAGAAAGTTGGAGTTTTGAAATATTCATAAGTTTGATCAGGAGTTGACTTTATTGATATCAGGCTCGGATTTCTATTCCAGAAATTTGACTAGCTCTATTATGTCATTTATGACTTATGCACAAAATTTGAAGTCATTCTGGATTGATTTGATATGTTTTGGCGCAAATTATAGAAGTTGGAAGATTTGAAAATTCATAAGTTCCATTCGAGGTGCAATTCATAATTTTGACGTTGTTTGATGTGATTCGAAGCCTCGAATAAATTCGTGTTGTGTTTTAGGACGTGTTGGTACATTTGGTTTAAGGTCCCGGGGGCCTCGAGTGGATTCCAGATGGTTAACAAATTAAATTTTGGACTTAGGAAAATTATGAGGAATTCTGGACTGGTGCCATCACGCCTGCGATGGATTTGGCCGCAGGTGCGAGACCGCATAGGAGAGACAGTGATCGCAGAAGTGAAAATGGAAGGGTTGGACAGTGGTCGCAGGTGGGAAGTATTTTCTGCACCTGCGTGATCATGGATGCGGTGCCTGGGGATGCAAAAACGAAGCAAGCGTAGAAGCACAATTTCTGGTCGCACCTGTGATTGCGCATAAGCGAAATTCTTTCTACATGTGCGAGAACTCAACTGGGCAGTGGATTCCGCAGAAGCGACAATTGTTTCGCATCAACGACAATTGTGTGGCATAAGCGACGCCGCAGAAGCGGCTAATTGTCCGCATGTACAAAAACTGGGCAGAAACATTTAAGGATTAGAGGTTGCCATATTTACTCATTTTTGGAGTTTTAAACCTCGATTTTGGGCGATTCTGGAGGGATTCTTCACGAGTTTAATTTTGGTAAGTGTTCCTTAACTGAAAGGGATTGTATTTCATGACTTTATACGTATTTATGTCATTAAATTTGTGAATCGGATGGAAGAAAACAAAATTTTGGAAAATCTTTCAAAAATGTATAATGAAGATTTGAAGGGTGATTTGATATCGGAATTTGATAGTTTTGATACGGTTGAACTCGTATCGGAGTGGGTGTTCGAATTTCGTAAAAATTTATCGGATTCCAAGATGCGAGCCCCGGGTTGACTTTTTAGTGTAAAATTAAAAGTCGACGTTTATTATCCGGAATTATTTCCTATGAATTTTATTTATTTTATGAAATTATTTTGGTTAGATTTGAGCTATCCTGAGGCCGTTTCACGCGAGAAGGCCAATTTAGAGTATCGGCCTAACTTCGTAAAGGTAAGTATCTTGCCTAACTTTGTGTTGGGAAAACTACCCCTTAGGCTTTGAATTGATGATATTGTTTGAATTATGCGAAAAGCGTGTACACAAGATGACGAGTGTGTACACTTACTTATATGTGGTATGTGACCGGATAAGACCGTTAGGCTTCTTTCATACAATTAATTGTACTTATCGTTTCATGTTATATTTTTTGTCGTTAGGATTGCCCTTACGTGCTTTACTTGAAGTTATTAGTACATGTTCCATCTTTCATGGTGAAGTTCATCCTTATTTGTTAATTGATGATTTTAATTATTTGTTGAATTCATGTGTTATCTGCTACATGCCTTAACTGTTAATTGATTCTCAGAAATTGTGTCTTGATTTATGGATTGTCATTCCTTGCTAATGATTTCGTGAGTTATCGTATAACTTTCTCATCAGTTGTGACTTCTTTGTGTAGCCTTGTTATTCCTTTTGATTTTGTGATACGCCGTAGTTGGTTGTAAATTATTTGCTTAAATTATGTTACTTGGTGAGCGGGTTGCACGCCGCAACAGTATTGAAAATGATAATATATGTGGGATCAGGTTGTACGCCGCAACAATAATGAAAATGATGATCTGTATGGGATCGGGTTGCACGCCGCAACAGTAATGAAAATGATAATATATGTAAGATTGGGTTGCACGCCGCAACAGTAATGAAAATGATAATATATGTAAGATTGGGTTGCACGCCGCAACAATAATGAAAATGATGGAATGGTGGAATAAGGATGGATTATAATATTGACAGATAATTATATGGAGGGATCGGTGATTATATGGAGGGGTCGGGTTGCGCACTGCAACAGATTTGTTTAAACTTTATATTTTGGATCGGGTTGTGCGCCGCAATGGATTGTGTATGTTGTATTCACTGTTGTATTGTGTAAGCTTCCAGTATTTATTATATAAAATTCTGAGGACGGATATTTTTGGATTTATTGATTTCGAGGATTGAATTATTGGTAACACATTGGTTTTTAAGTTAAAGAATTTTTAACGTACTTTACTATTCTTAACAGTTGACGCATTTCACTTTAATTAATTTTCCAAATTAAACTCCTCATCCTATCTGATGATTTTATTTACATATGGATCATTATTATGTTTTTATTTAACAAACTCTAAATTTAATCCAGTGGTTATCCGGTGCTTTATTTTAATTGAAAATATTATTTTCTTGATCCAAATGATTTCTAAAATAAACTCATTCTTCTCAATTGATTTCCTACTTTATACCTGTTTGTTTTTATGCTTTAATGAATGAGATTAAATTTCCTGGATATTTAAAAGTAGTATTTGATACGGGTACAAGGTACATGGTAGCACGTGGATTTTATCGTGCGAAAGTGATTTGAAAAATATAGGCACAAGTTGACATGTGTGTGAGGTTTGGAAGTTGTGATTTATAATCTGAGATTTACAAGATGTGATACTCGAGGTAATTCTTATTGAAATTTGTGCATTTGGAATGATTTAATTGACTAAGTTGTCATTGGTTTACCTTACTTGAACACATTTATATTTTATTTGTACCTGACTATGTTGTTGCTTAGTTACTTGGATATTCTCATTGTCATCCGTGCTCACCTTATTTTCAATGTTGATGGTGATTTGAAATCTTTCTATTGTTGGCCTTATATTGATATTCTTTCCTTATTAGTTTTATGTCATATCCTGCATAACTTTTCATGTCCGGTAGGTGTCTTGACCTGGCCTCGTCACTACTCTACAGATGTTAGGTTTGATACTCACTGGGTACCGATGTGGTATACTCATGCTATGCTTCTGCACATTTTGGTGCAGATCCAGGTACTTATGATTGAATTGGTTGAAGATTTATATCTGCACTGCTGGAGACTTCAAGGTATACTTGTTCGACGTCCGCAGGGCCCGAAGTCACCTTGTGTTGTATTTTATTTCCATTGTCTCCTATTATTCCGGAAAAATGACTTACTCTTTATTTATAGTTACTCTTAGAAAGGCTTGTGACTTGTACTATCGGTTTTGGGATTATGTAACTGAAGTTGGTTTGACTATGTTGTTACGGAATTTTCTTTTTAAATTATTGTAGTTAATTTAGTTGAATTCCACTAGTGATTAGTATATGTTAGGCTTACCTAGTCTTAGATACTAGGTGCCATCATGACTTCCTTGGAGGGATTTTTGGGTCGTGATAGGAGGCTTGCTTTCAGTATTCTGTGTAACAAGAATGTGCCACCAAAATTTAAAGATACGTTTTATAGAGCGGTGGTCAGATCGTCTATTCTGTATGGGACGGAGTGTTGGCCAGTCAAGAACTTTCATGTACAGAAGATGAAGGTGACTGAAATGAGGATATTGAGATGGATGTGCCGGCATACCAGATAAGATAGAATTAGAAATGAAGTTATTAGGGACAAGGTGGGTGTGGCCCCTGTGGAGGATATGATGTAGGAGGTGAGACTTAGATGGTTCGAGTATGTTAAGAGGAGAGGCATTGATGCCCGATGAGGAGGTGTGAGAGGCTAGCGTTGGAGGGCAAACAAAGAGGTAGAGGCAGGCTGAAAAAGTATTGGAGAGAGATGATTAGGCGAGATATGGCATTGCTCCAGCTGACTGAGGACATGACCATGGATAGAAGGTGTGGAGGTTGAGATAAAGGTAGAGGGTTAGGTAGCCGAGTGTTGTCCTTATTTGTCATAGTAGCGTCGATACGTCACTTAGTGTCCTTCGTGTTTTATCCCTAGATTGTTGTTATTACTTGTTGCTGCCTTGTTTCGGCTTTTTGATTGTATTACTTAGTGTTAGTTTTGTAATTTCACTTCGGTTGTCAGATTGGTTTATGATGGTAAGCTATAATCTCATATTTTAGTCACCTATTGCACTCTAATTTACTATACTTTGATTGAGTTGAGCTTTAATCACTAGTATTTTGCACTAATTGTGTGTTTTATGCCTTGTAGGAGTGATTCCTAGCTATGTAAATGTTTTGGAATGAATTCAAGCTATTCTGGAACTTTGAAGTCTGAGTAAAAGCCCAAGGATTAAGTTGAGATCGTGTTCGTGGATCAACAGAATATAGTGCACTTAACGGGAGAAATGAAGAATTGAGCAGGACGCTACCCAGGTGCGCGAGCGCGCACTGGGCGCGCAAGTTAGGCAAGACATTGTCCAAAGTGTGCGGCCATATGCGCGAGCACACCTCCAGGTGCGTGGCCGTGCACGTCCAATCCCGGAATTATCCTATTTCGCGTATGAAAATGTGTGTTCATTTGGGCCCGACCCTAATTGATATATATACTGGAAAACGGTATTTTCTAAACTTTTTTTGACACATCTAAGACCTAAGGAGGCTAAAAAGAAGTTGGAGAAGCAAGAGCACAAGGAATTCATTATTCAATCCTCACTCAAGACAAGATTTTGGATTGTTTTATGTTTTTCTTTACTTTAAACATATTTGTGACTAATACCATATATGTGGAGTAGTTCTCTTTAGGGTTTGATGGATTTGGTGTATTGATATTTATTTGAGGATTATAACTCTAGTTTTATGTATTGAATAGTTTTGGATGTTTTAATAGTTGCATCTATATCCATATGTTCATGTAATCGAGAGAGGCATAACTTGTGATATCTTTACATTATCTTGTTGGGTGAGTTTATTAATTCTTCTTAGTAATCGAAAGAGGCTAGTTGAATTATTGTTTAAACCTAGTTAGGAGTATAATCGAGAGAGGTTCTCCTAAAGACCAATCCACTACGAATTCTTACATATTTTTACTGAGCTTAAATTGGTTCATATTGTGAGGTTGAGACTTAATCAAGATTGGAGTTTCTACTAAATGTTTGAATTAATAATTGAGTGAATTTGAGAGACTCACTTGAATATTAGAAGTGAATTAACTAGAGTTAAATCCCAGACATTTATCTTGCACCTATCCAATCAATCCCTATTTTCTCCCATTGATATCTTCCTTGCTTACTTTTGTTCGATTGTCATTCGTCAATTAACTTTAGATTCTTAGTTAATTTTAATTTTAAATCACATAACTCTAAATTATTGATTATCTTGGATAGGAATCTAGCTATAAACTACAATAATATTGTCTAACTCCAATCTCTGTGGATACGATATTATATTATACTATATTCGACTAGCGAGGATATTTAAGTGTGTATTTTGCGCTCGTCAAAATTTGGCGACGTTGTCGTGGATAGTGTTGGAAATAGTTTGTAGTGTTAATTCATGAATTAGGGTTTCGTCAAATTTCTTTTCTTTTTCCCTGTCTATTTTATTTTCTTTATTAGTTAACTTCTTTTCAAGATTTATTTTGTAGTACCTAACAAGTTAGGGAAGATACTGTAGATATTGAACTTTAAATATTATGAAGATGGAGTACAACCATCCTAAGAAAACAGTTGAAGAGTTAGTAGTTGAATATTATCAGCGGTCTGCTATGTGTTTTAAATGCGGTAGAAATCATCTATGGGTTGACTGTGAAGTAGGTATGTATTCTTCCTATGATTCGTATTTTGAACAGTCTCACTCTGTTTCTAGTCCGTAGATGTATGAGGATTCATATGGGCACAATCTTGACTCTGATTGGGATGAATACCCTTATTATAACTGAAATAGAAATGAAGTGAGACAACTACCTCAATGGGAGAATGGTAGTTTAGAAGAGCTTGTGTATAAGTTCATAAATAAGGTGGAAGAGAGATTTACACAAGATGATTAAGTCATTAACAACCTAACAAAGCAAGTAAGTCAAATAATAAGTACACTTTCAGAAAGCTCTTTGCGTTGTGATGATGAATATATGGAGGTGATACCCTACGAGAATAAGCCTACTCAAGAGGATGAGCTGGTTCAGAGGGAGATTTCCACGGTACAAGAAGACTCTGATTCAACTGAGATGATCGAAAATAAGGCTTTGGTTGAATATGAAGCAACGGAAGAAGAGTTCAAACCCCCATCCACCTTTCCACACTTGCAATCTTTAGTAGAAGAAAATGAGAAACAAATGGTCTGGGACATACCAGATGAATATTCACTTTACCTTTCTTCTTTGTTTTCTTATTCTAACCTTGATCATGTGGAGTTTATTTTTGAAAATTTACAGGAATATGTATGGATTGATCCTGTGAAAGAATGCAGAAATAAGTTAAGGATCATCATGAAAGAGAAATTCACTGCTCAAGATGAGGACAAGAAAGAAAAAAAAGAGCGGGTCTTGCAGGTATCCTCAGAAGAATTGGTCTTAATGAGCTCCACAAAAAATTCCAAGGAGCGAAAACGAGGAATGAATTCAAAATTAGGGGTAGAGTTCATAAGTTCTCGGAAAAGAAGAAAATTCAGGGAAGTTTCCTTTACCTCTTGCTTTTTAATTGTGTATCATGGGGAAATGCCACGACTTAAAGTGTGGAGTGGGGGATAACTGTATGTTGTATGTATGTGTGTTAGTTTAGTTTTTGTTTAGTAGGTTAGAGATAGAAAAATTAAATTGAAAAAACATAAAAATTTTAAAATTTTCGATTTTTCCCGATGATGGATATCATTTGACAGGTTTTTTGAGGGATTTAGTCGAAGGAAAAAGACAAAAAGATTTTCTTTTGTAGGTAGTGTAATAATTTTTCCTTGGTTTTTCTTTGTGCCGCGGTTTTTCTCCAAGGATTTTGTTTGAACTGGGTGTAGTTAGTTTTTATTTTAGTTAGTAGTAGGAAACCTTGTGCTATGATTTGAAATGAAAGCAATATCTCTTGAGTCTATCATGCCTTAAGAATAGTGAATGTTTTCGTTGTGACGCTTAGGCTCAGTTTTTAACTCTTGTATAAGTACCTTAAATTGTATGATCTTAACTTTGCTTAACAGCTTTGACTAGAGTGTCTTGATAGTCTGATCCTGAGTGAGTTATTTTCCATGTGTGTGTGAGGTTTTATATTATTCATTGAATTGCATTTGATGTCTAGAACTTACCCCGTGTGTTTGCAAAGCGAAATAATAGTTATGTCCAGTCTTGAAAGTGATATAGGCATTTCTTTGTTGAGCCAGTTATATACTTTTACCCACCTATTTGTTATGTATCGTAGTTAACCCCTTTGAGCCTGTAATCTTGTTCCTTTGGCAACCACATTACAAACCACCCATTTTTTTGAATTGACCATCTATTTGAACCTTGTATCTCTCATGAGTACTTGAATTTGTTATGAACTTTGTAAAAGTTAAAGTGGGGGTGGTTGGTTTGGCTTTTGAATGGAACTAATGAAATAGCGAGAAATGTGCAATGTATTGAAAAAGTAAGAGTCACTTGAAATAAAATAAAAATATAGTTGTATTGTTGAAAATATTCCTTGATAGTGGTGACTCTTGATATAATTGTGCTTAAATGAGTAGGGAGTTAATATATATTGATGTGAAGGTGGAATTTATGGTTTGACATAAGTGTGGGGTTTTGAAAGGTAAATTATATGTATTAAAGTTCTTATGGAGGTGTAATCACTCTTATATCCAAATTGTATCCTACCCATCCCGCAGCCTACATTATAACCAATTAAATTCCTCCTTGATCCTTGACTGAATGAGCTCAATTAGTAGAGTAGTACACTACAAACAAGTCTATGGTGCATCTTTTGTGGCATATGAATGTTGTTTCTGAGAGTGAGTAAATTCTTTCTATCTTGAGTTCCTAATTGTTCTTAATTTCTATTATGTGTGGAACTACTCTCGGTTGTTGTGTGAGGGCACTTAATTCATGAAGGAAAGGTAATGTCATTGACGTCTATGTTAGAGTAATGGAGCGGGTTATAAATAATGCGCGGTGCTTGTGAGTCAAATCTTGAGGCTAGGATGTTACACTATTGTGCTTAGTCGCTTTTAAATATTCTTGGTATGATGAGTTATGAGAGTTGCTTAAAAAGGTTGCGTTGTTATAAAGTGTAGTTTGATTACTCGAGGACTAGTAATGGGTTAAGTGTGGGGTGTTGATGGTAGACTATAATCTCGTATTTTAGTCACCTATTACGCTCTAATTTACTTCATTTTGATTGAGTTGAGATTTAAGC